GTGGAGGAAATGTATGAGGATATTTCCAGAGCCATGCATTCCTCTAAAACCCAATACACGGTGTTGATGGGAGACTTCAACGCAAAACTAGGCACAAGAGAAAGCGGTGAGCTGAAGTTAGGGAAATTTGGAGTAGGGCAACGGAACCGTAGGGGTCAGCAAATGGCCAACTTCATGGAGAAAGGGGGACTCTTTATGATGAACTCATTCTTCCAGAAGCGGCTCCACAGGACAGGAAGCGATTGAGCGGAACCAGGGCTCCAAAGTCTTTGCCAGAGATCTGTCTGCCAGTAAGAGCCAACTGTCAAAGCTGAAGACTGAGTATGGCAGCATCGTTTCCGGGACACCTGAGATTCTGAGTGAGATTGAGAGGTTCTATGGGCAGCTGTACACCTCATCGTTGGAGCCACACGCAAGTGTGAGTAACGATCCAAGAGCGGGTCTTATCCGACACTATTCCGATGATATTCCGGACGTCAGTCTGAGCGAGATTAGAATGGCTCTCCAGCACCTTAAAAACGGCAAGTCCCCGGGCGAGGATGGAATTACAGCGGAGCTTCTGAAAGCGGGTGGAAAACCGGTACTTGAAGTCCTTCAGAGGCTCTTTAATTCCGTCCTCCATGGTGGCACTACTCCGGAGGCGTGGAGCAGAAGTGGGGTGTTCTTGTTCTTCAAAAAAGGTGACAACGCCCTCTTGAAGGACTACAGACCGATATCCCTTCTGAGCCGCGTCTACGTGCTGTTTTCGAGAGTCATTACGAATCGTCTCGCACGCAGACTCGACGACTTCCAGCCTCCCGAACAAGCCAGTTTCCGAAAAGGCTTTAGTACCATAGACCACATACATACCCTTCGGCAAATTGTACAGAAGTCCGAAGAGTACAATCTGCCACTTTGCCTGGCGTATGTGGACTATGAGAAAGCCTTTGATTCCGTCGAAATTTGGGCGGTGCTACAGTCTCTTCAGCGGCGCCAAGTTGACTGTCGATATATCGAAATGCTGAAGTGTTTGTACAGTAGGGCTACGATGGCTATCCGAGTACAGAACTAGAGTACGAAACCTATCCAACTGCAGAGAGGTGTAAGACAGGGTGACGTTATTTCCCCGAAACTCTTCACCGCTGCATTGGAAGACGTTTTCAAGCTACTGGACTGGAAAGGATACGGTATTAACATCAATGGCGAGTACATTACTCACCTTCGATTTGCCGACGATATAGTCCTTATGGCAGAATCGCTGGAGGACTTAAGCACTATGCTCAATGACCTCAATAGTGCCTCCCAACGGGTAGCTCTTAAGATGAACATGGACAAAACAAAGATCATGTTTAATGTCCATGTCACACCTATACCGGTAGTTGTTGACGATTTGAAATTAGTTCAAGTGATTGATAAGAATGTAACTCCCGAACATCTTCAAAGTGTCATCGACCGAATCCATAAGTGGAATATAGATAATAAAATGATGTTTAATGCCGGTAAATGTTACGTCATGACCTTTAGCCGCAAGTTACAACCTACACATGCCTCCTATACCTTAGCAGGTGTTGAAATAAAGCGCGTGTCAACCATTAAGATCTTGGCGTGACATTTGACTGCGGATTGACTTTCCATGCACACATGTCTGCCCTAGCTTCAGCATCTTACAGACGCCTAGGTTTTGTCCTACGCAATGTCCGTGATTTCAATAATCCTATTATCATCAAATTATTATTTAACTGTCTAGTTAGAAGTAAGTTAGAATTTGCTGCAGCCGTCTGGAATCCCCACGAATCCACATATGAATTGTTGATTGAAAAGGTTCAGAAAGCCTTTCTGCGTTTTTTATATAAGAAGATTTTCCATTTATGTATCCTACTCTTTTCTTGCTGAGAATGTTATGATATAATTCCCTTTCAGTGCGTAGAGCCAGAGATCAGATCCTAATAGCCATAAAAATTTTAAGGGGCATGGTAGATTCCCCAGAGCTGCACAATACTTTGTGTACACTTTATGTGCCTAACAACTATCTGCGTCATAGGCCTACTCGACGACACCGGCTATTCGCCACATCCCATTGGCGCACTGTGTCGCGCGCGCAATCCCCGTTGTGTCGCATGCATGGTGCTTTAAACTCCTTAATGGAGACAGTCCCGGAATGTGACATCTTTAATGACACACTCAAGGTGATCATGTCAAACTGTCTCATGTTATGTGAAAGCCATGTTTGTTAGGTAAATAAGTTGTATGTTGTTATCACTTTATTCTGTTTTATATTATTTTATTTCCTCTAGTTATTGTTAAGTATGTTCGATCTCTGAATTGTTATTTGTTTTTGAATTATGTTATATGTTTAGTTTTACCTATTAATTACTGTCATTGGCGAAAACCGTTGTAATTAATTATAAATAAATAAATAAATTGTTGAGAGCACTATGCTCGAACTTGTTGACGAGTACGTTTACCTGGGACAAATAGTCCGACTAGGAAAGTCCAACTTCGACCGAGAGGTCAATCGACGGATTCAACTCGGCTGGGCAGCGTTCGGGAAATTACGACACATCTTCTCGTCAAGTATACCTCAAAACCTGATAACTAAGTTGTACAACCAGTGCGTGTTGCCAGTGATGACATATGGAACTGAGACGTGGTCCTTCACTGCTGGCCGTATGAGGACGCTCAAGGTCGCTCAGCGAGCTATGGAGAGGGCTATGCTCGGAGTTTCTCTGCGTGATAGACTCAGAAATGAGGATATCCGCAGTAAAACCAGAGTGACCGACATAGCCCAACGGATTAGTAAGCTGAAGTGGCAATGGGCCGGCCATATTGCTCGAAGAACCGATAACCGATGGGGAAGAAAGGTTCTCGAGTGGCAGCCTCATACCAGTAGGCGTAGTGTAGGGCGACCCCCACTAGATGGAGTGACGACCTGGTAAGACATGCAGGAAGTCGATGGATGCAGGTGGCTCAGGACCGTGCTTTGTGGCATACCTTGGGGGAGGCCTATGTTCAGCAGTGGACTTGTAAAGGGCTGTAATGATGATGATGATGATGAATGAACAACACCTATCACCGGAAGAGAAATATATATCACCCGAAGAACAAAACGTCGTACCTAGGATCGATCCCAGTTTTATCCAGGACAATTTCACGGATATTTCTCAAGAAGGAAACACTGATCATATAGTTTCATTTATTAATAATATCATTCCTGAATAAATCTAATAATAAAACATCATTTAACTTTTTATAATGATAAGAATTTCATGTCTTAGAGCCATGTCATGACATGACAAAAGTAAATGTTTAGGTTGATTTATATAATAAATGGAAATGGATGAAAACTAGAATAATTTGTTTTAATAACTTATGAACACTTACTTGGATATAATTTTTCAGGGCTTTTGTGATAGCTTCACATACTTCTGGAACTATTGAAGATATCGTTTGTTTCGAAATCTTAAAAAGGTATGCAAGGCTTGTATACGAGTCCCCAGTGGCCAAAAATCGTAATGTGACGGCTAATCTCTCCTTTACTGGAATCGCTTCACGATAATTTGTATTTTGTTTTGATATTTCCGGTCCAATACTATTTAACAACCATTCAAAATCTTGTGTAGACATTCTGCTAAAGTTGTCAAATAAACGATATTCGTTTTCTACTTGTAAATCTGCTATCATTTTACTTCCACTATACACAGTCCTATTCTTAAAATATGTGGTTGTCCACCATCTTCGCTAACGTTTATTTTTTCTTGTTCTTGCTAACTCGTTTTGGTATATAAAACTAAGGGCCAACGAACGTTCGTTCGAGCAATAAATGTATTTGGATGTATTAACGAACTCCAACGAGCGTGCGGTAGCCAACGCTAGCGAACGATAAATATCCATCGTTGGGCGTTCGTTGGGCCGGTCTGTACGCATCATAAAAGATACAGAGGATGTCAAGACCTCAATAGGAGTTATTGGTGACATCTTTGACGATTTCGTCTTAGCGAGCTGGAAAAAAAATCAAGTTCCATCTACCCAGAATCAGATAATATATTCACCTCGTCGAGCTTCAGGCAAGGCTGGATGTACTCCAAAATACAGCCAGTATTTTAAAACAGCCGGTTACTTCACAAAATATTGTAGCCGTTCATCGCGTACAACTAAATCCGACTAGCTCACGGCCGAATAATATAATTCTCAGTATCTCGAGTCAAATATTGCGTTATCTGCAGCACGTCTTTAGAAGAATATAATATCTGATCAACTAAAAATTTAAAGAACGTATCACAAGATCAACGAACATCTAGGTCAAACTTGATATCGCCGAAACATAGTCTACGTTATTATATTGCATTTCTGTATAATTACGTAGTTAATTATAGTAAGATTAGGTGCTTAGTGGTAACTCACAGTAATTGATGGCAGCACGCGCTCTTAAGCGTGCATTACTCAGTTACTTCGCACGTATTTTTTACTTGTTATAAGCCAGTGCTGGACCACAGTCCAATCTGGTGGTAAGTGGTGATGCAACCTTAGCAACCTTATGTAGTATTAGCGTAACAAAAGCCTGTTCACTCTTGCCTTGAAGACGCCTAGGTTGTATTCGGACGGAAAGATAGACGCCGACAAATTATTCCACTTTATAAGTAAATAAGCGATTTACTAGCTTATTTACAATGAATTCTTTAGAGTATAACAAAACGCTATTGCATAATTTAACTGTTATTCTTATCTGTTCTTAACAATACATTTAAAATGGAATCATGTTAAGAAGTGAATTTCTAGCTGATTTATCATGAATTATTTAGAGCATAACAAAACACTACTGCAAAATTCTAACTCTTCTTAAAAATACACTTAAAATAGAATTTAATTAAATAAAGGAAAATACATTTCAAAAGGCGAGCAGAACTTAAAGCGCTTCCAAGATTATTCTTTTCTTATGAAATTATTAATCGAATAAAAATCGAATCGATATCGTACGATAATTACAATGGTTTGATATAGTTTTGTTTTGTTTTTGATTCCAGGCGTTGATATCTTACAAAATTAATGACAGAAATATAGAACATTATTTAGCATATTTGGAAGGTGGGTGGTTGTCGGAAGATGACATGAAGAAGTCTGATGAAGAGGAGGAAAATGTGCCTGAAAGTTACGATGGAAATGAGTTACTGAATATGTTAGAAAGTAATGAGGATGACACAGAAAACTCACAAAACCACGAAAGTGACCCTCCCTTAGTTGAAAATGAGGCAATAGACAACCAGGTTCTAGACAATAATGCCCCCGCGGGACATATATTTTCAGGATTGTTAATAAACGAAAACTGATCTGGAACAAAAGAAACTTAGAATTTGATGAGTCCAAAATCACATTTAAAGGCAATTCTGATTCAGGACCAGAGTTGTCACAATTATATATCCATAAGCATGCTTTAACTACCTTTTCACAGAACATTTTATAGAAAGCGTGCAACTAAAGTTGCACACTATCTAAAACGGTACTTGCCCAACAAGCCTAACAAGTAAGGGGTATGTTTCGTGTAAGCTGCAAGGATTTGCATAAAACTACGAGGTATATGCTGGATAGGACCTTACCAAAAAACCTGAAAATGAACCACATTTGGGCTCAACCAGCAATAATGTCCTTCGTTTAGCCTGAGGTATACCAAGACAAGTCAGTCACATTGTCTATTTTGACAATTTTTATACATCTCTTCCATTGATGTATTATTTCGCAACTCAAGGAATGCTTTCAGTAGGGACAGTCTAAGTAAGTCAGAATACCTAATCCAAAATTGCCTGATAAAAGACAATTTATAAATAAATCTATTCCAAGAGGTTCACATGAAGGAAGAGTGACAACATTTCAAAGTGTGGATATGAGTGTAGTAGCATGGAAAGACAACCAAGTTGTCACATTACTGGCATCCTATGTTGTTGCTTTGCCTTTGAATAATGTATCTAGATATGACAAGAAAAAAAAGAAACAATACAGATTCCATGCTATAAGATCATAAGTGAATACAATGCCCCCATATGGGAGGTGTATATCTAATGCCCGGGCTGCACGAGGCTAGTTTTTCAAGCTAGGATAGCAAGCTAGTGTCAGTAAGCTAGCAAGCTAGTACTTCCAGCTTTGTGTAGACAAAACTAGCTTCATTTCTCACCTAGTGAACTAGTAAGCTAGTTAACAAGCCAGGACAGTTTTTAATAGGATGGAGTTCTATTTTTTAGGCTAGTAGCGCCCTCCACCACTGATATTACTATCCTGGCTTGTGTACTAGCTTCATGTGGCCGGCGAAGCTAGTTTTCAGTTGACTCGTAAGCAGTAACTACGCGTTTTGTTTTTCTCTGTGACGTGTTTTTGAGGTTTTATGATGCCCAAACAAAGTACGGAGATTAATATAAAGTTCGTACAACTGTACCGTGACCACAAATGTCTGTGGAACGCCACCCTTCCAAGTTATAAAGAAGAGTGTAAAAGTGATTCAGCGCTACAAAAATGTGTGACTAATTAAAGAGGATGGGTATTGATATGACTACTAAAGAGGTAAAAAGTAATATCAAAAATTTAAGAACAACGTATTCTCAAAAACTGACAAAAATTGATAAATTAACCCGGTCTGGAGCAGGTTCTCAAGAAGAATATTAGTCGAATCTGCATTGGTTCCAGGAAATGCACAGTTTTATTAAACATGTACCTATGAAGAGAAAAATAACGGTAAGATATTTGCAATCGTTTATTGTTTAAAGTTTCGAAAAAGAAAATATTAATGTAAACAATGGTGTGACCACTGTAAAAAATGTTTACATATGAATATTAAAAAAAAATGTACATACAATTACAATTTTAGAAGTATAAAGTTATTAAAAAGAGTACAGTGTGTTTGTGTGTGTGTGTGTGTGTGTGTGCGTGCGTGTGTGTGTGTGTGTGTGTATGTGTGTGTGTGTGTGTGTGTGTGTGTGTGTGTGTGTGTGTGTGTGTGTGTATGTGTGTGTGTGTGTGTGCGCATGGGTGTGTGTGTGTATGTGTGTGTGGGTTTGTCTATTATCCGTCAGTCTGTCTGTCCGTTTAAAGTATTTAGTACCTTTAGTTTCTGTTCTCCAGGATAGACATTTCCTGTTTCGATATATTCACGGTCTATATCAGAGCTGGTTATACAAGTTTTACGATTTTCACTTCTCAACCAATTATGCAAAGCACATGTTGCTAATACAACTTTATCTACTGTATTTACATTAGCTGCTAGTGGTTTTTGAAATACGCGAAATCGGCTTGCCAATATCCCAAAGGCATTCTTCACTATACGTCTGGCTCTAGATAGTCGGTAATTGAAGACTTTCTGTGACCATTCTAAATTGTCACCTGGATAAGGTTTTAAAAGGTACGGTTTTAAAGTAAATGCGGCATCAGCAACAATGACTCCGCATGTGGTACAAGGTTATTTTCCAGTTTATTGTATATGGAGCAATTTCAAAATACACTTTCATTTTTCACTTACTCTGTGGCAACCCCAGTGAAAAGTTGTAAAATAATAGCTCCCAACTATTTAGAAAAATTAAATATTCCACTTTGACTTAATCTGTGGCAACCCCAGTGACAAGTTGTAAAATAAAAACGCCCAACTATTTAGCAAAATTAAATATTGTAAATTGATAATATCCACGTCAATTTCTAGTTACAGTTGTTAAATAAGACTTAATTGTGTTTGTAAAATAAATAAAAGTCATAAGTATTTTAATTAAATAGTCAAACATCGTTTGAACTTTCTGTAAGTTATTGTAATTCTTGTTATCCCTTTTATATTTTAAGATTTATCTTTTAAATGAGTGCTGTTTCGGATTTCAATTTGAATTATTTACCTGATAATTTAATTTGAGATCTGTAAGTAGACCCATAGATCTAGATATTAGCTTACTCTGTTTCTTCGGTTTTCTTTCTTCGTTTTCTTTTGCTATTTACACATAATAGTAAAATGAATACACACAACGCCAAAACGCACCAAATGGAGAACCAACTTCAAATGGCGCTTCTAGAACTTAAGGCGTCAAAGGAGCAGTGTGAGCTGTTGCTTAAAGAAAGGAATGACAACGAAATGGAAATAATATTTTTTTATATATATAATATATATTTTAATAAATATAATTGCCAAAAATAGTCAACTAAAAAGTGATATGGTTAAGTTGCATAAAGACTATACAAATGTTATAAAAAGAAAGGGATCAGCTTCAGGGACCAGTCGATGAGTTTGACCAATGCAGCAAAGAATATGAGGAATCCCTCAGATTAATTTCTGCATTGCAGTTGCAGTTAAGTGAGGCTAATGGACAGATTTTGCAATTAAAACAATACTTAGATGAATTGAAAGTGGCCCAAACTCAAGGTCTGGTCAATGAGCTCATAGAATGTAAATCTTCAAAAACATTGCAACCCTCCACAACCATCGATTTGACTGGTGATGATGTTGTCACATCAAGAACAGCAAAAAGGATAACATGCAGTAGAAGAAAATTAAATAAATACAAAAAAATTATAAATATGTTAGGAAAGTACAAAAGTTAATTAAAACTAAAATTAATACAAAAAATTATATAAATATATGTAAGGAAGAGCATGAATTAATTAGTAAACTTAAATTATATTCAATATGAAAAACTGTTATGAGACTGAAATAGAGTGTCTCAATTCAGAAGTTTTGTCGCTTAAAAACTCCTTACAAATTATCTCAAATAAATATGCATCGGCTCAGGTTGAGATTAAAGAACACATATTGGCCATGAATGATCTGGTAAAGTCATGTAAATACAATGAGGAGCGCTTTGACTCCTTAATAAAACACCAGAGTGAGAATCAACGCTCTATACCATGTTCATCGGGGACAATATGTGTAAATAGTAACTGTTTTAGTTCACCAACACCCTATGACGGTGCCATAACAAAGTATAAAAACTTAAAAAGTAGTTTAAATATTACAAAATTCAAACTACCAGTTAAGTTTTAACAATAAATTAACTAAATCAGGTTTTTGAGAAATATTTTACTGATATTCCGATCTTAACCACTAAGTCACTGAATTCTTCTCCTGCCGTCGCCGAATCATTACTTAAACAAAATGTAAATGTGTGTACAAAGAATTTTACATTTCATAAAATGTCATCAAAAGATATTGTAAAATATTTTAAGACTATTGATATTAAGAGAACCGCCGATCTGTGGGGGATTTCTGTTAAAGTTATTGCGTCTATAATAGTACAATTGCACCTCAACTATCTATTATTTTTAATACTAGTATCGAATCTGGTGTGTTTCCTGATTTAATGAAGCATAGTAAAGTAATACATTTATTCAAATCTGGTAGTACATTGGACTCTGCTAAGGGGGATGCCCATTTTCGGTCATGGAACGCCCAACAATATGCATTTATACTGAAAAGATGGGAATATTTTTGCACAAAAAAAGGTACTGAAATGATAAAAATAAAATTAGGTAAATGCGTAATTCATTAGTTTGTGGATAAAATAAAAATGTTGCCAGTCACCAATCTCATTAAAATCGATTCCCTTTTTTAATCGATTATTTATGGTATCATTATTACAATGCTAATATTATAACTTTTCGATAATTATTATGATGTTACACCTATATGTAAAGCAACCGTTGATACATTGCTAATGCGGGCGTTAGATGTGTGATAAAATTATATTATTAAAATAATTATTTGTTATATTAATACTTTCTAAATAAATAAAAGTAAATAATACCTAAGATAATAAAATCCTATTATTATTTTTACAATTTAACAATCGTATTTACACACTTTACCTACTTAGGTTGATTGTTTTAGATATAGGTAATAAATCTAAAATAAGAGAGCTCCACTTAAACGAAAAAATAATTAATAAAATATAACTAAAAGTTGGAAAAAGTGGCCCAATGTAAATCGGCCTCGCAAGCCAATGAAGAGTTTCGTAGTAACAAGCATAGATTCTACATCGAGTTAAAATACCACTATCATTATCGCCTACATTATCGCCATAACGCTACTGCACAATTAACTGTTCTTAAAAATACACTTAAAATAGAATTTAAATAAATAAAAGAAAATACATTTTAAAAAGCGAGCAGAAGTTAAAACGCCTCCAAGATTATTCTCTTTTTATGAAATTATTAATCGAGTCGCTATCGATATTATGATTTTATGATAATTAAACAAGCAAATTACTAGCTGATTTACTATGAATTCTTTAGAGTATAACAAAATGCTACTGCACAATTTAACTGTTATTGTTATCTGTTTTATTTAAAATGGAATCATGTTATGATAATTAAACAAGTGAATTTTAGCTGATTTACAATGAACTGTTTAGAGCATAACAATACGCTACTCCACATTTTAACCGTACTTAAAAATACATTTAAAAAAGAATTTAAATAAGTAAAACATATTTTAAAAAGCGTGTAGAACTTAAAGCGCCACAAATATTTTTTTTATTAAATTACTAATCGAATAAAAATCGATATCGTTTCATTGTATTTATGTTAGTTATGTGGCAACATCAAATCTGACAGCTAGGAATTGTGTCATGCGAATTGCAAATGAAAATGAAATCACAATTCAACAAGTAAAAAGGGACTAGAGAATTCACAACTTAATAGCCGCGATTGTGTTATTTCGTTTGTTATTTTTCAAATAAATTCTCAAGAACTCATATGGAGTGAGATTGTTGATCACATTATAGTGTGACAACAGTAAAAAAGTAAGTGTTCAACAGTTTTTAATTTATTAATTCTAGTGCTGATATTTGATAGATATGAAATGATGAAGTTGTTTTATTTTTTAACATATCGACACCTCGGGTCTCAAAGGGCGTATAGGACATTTTGGTCAAATAGATCATTCTCTATCGAACTACATACTCAAAGTAGCGAAATTCTCGAAAAAATGTTCTTTACTACCCCATATTTTGGGGCTTTTCGTGCAAATTTAACGTGAATTATGGCTGTAAATCACAAATTATTCATGATTACCTACCGTTTAGGTTGTATAAATTGAGTATACTTAAAGGTTAAGGATCGAAAGCACATAATGTTTAAAAATTGTTCTTTACAACCTTACTAGATTTCAAACGAAAACCATATTGTCCTTTACTACCTAACTACATCTTTAGAGAAACTAGAATTGTGCTTTACTACCTAGCAAATATGAAGATGTCTTATACGCCTTCTATCTAGAAACTAAATTGACCTTTACCACTAGTAACAGTAAACAGATTGATGAAGCGTCGAAATCAACTACCTGCATTGGCTAATTATCATCGAAAAATGTTAAGGTAGTTGCGTATTGTTTGTACTGTCTTCGGAGTACTGTGCTATACGTCCCATAAATTTAATTATAAATTTTCTCTAGTCTCAGTAGTTCAGTTGTTTGTCGGGTTTGGTCATACTAATTATTTTACGTATTGTTCTTTTTATATTTTTAAATCTCTTTTGTATTTTGGTATTATGCTGACAAAATTAAACGTTTACCAAGTGGCATAAGTGTTTACTTTCCAGCATTTTTGCTACAAAATACCGGTCCCGAACAACCGAACTATACACCTACCCAAATTTCTCATGCAAAGTAGAGTGCGACTCTAACTTATGGTATTGGCAATAAAGGTTAAATTTAAGTGACTTCTGTTTTGTCGCGCTTGTTAGAATAGTTTTTCGACTTTCTGTAACACATAATTGCATAGTGTAGGTGTTGTCCTCGGAGTACTGTGCTATACGACCCACTTATAAATATTTTATTTTGCCTTTACCACCTACATATAATCCTGATATAAGTATTCGATACATTCATAGGTCTTTCTTTCGCCTTTACATTGTATTATACCTTGTATAGATTCCTAGTAAATTCTCTCTCAGGGCGAGAAATTCCCGAGAACTCTGGCAAAAAATGTTTTCTTGACTAATCACTATACTGCAGAGATGCTTCAGAAAGGTCCTGTAGAAATTACGGCGATTCTTTCACTTATCATTGCATCCAACTTTTACTACGTGATGAACTCTGAATTGGCAAGAAACATAATTATCAGTTGTTCCATACTAATATTCAATACCTACTGCAACAAAATGAATAGGACAGATGATTTTTTTCGGTATTTCAGGGTTTGTCCCATAATAAAATAATATGTATGTATTGATAAGTAAAACCACTCCCTGAATTTCTACAGGACCTTTCAGAAGCACCCAGAACCTCTGTGGAGTAAAGGCATGTTGTTTTAAAAATATTTTCCTTTTATCGACAAATTTTAGCTTCTATGTAATTTATTTCTAATTTATGTTATTTATTGAAAGTACTCGTTTTATTTTTAGAACATACACGCATGTACCAATTCCTGAAGTAAAACCGTTTCATCCCACAATGACTGATAACGTTACCATTTTCCTGATGAAGTAGGAGGTTCTCTAGTTGAGAGCCGAAGAAGTAACGAAACTGATGTAATAGAAGACAGCGAAGATGAAAACATTAGTCAAAGGGGGAATATACGTCATTTGATCATATCAAACTCAAGTGGCGAAGATAACATAGCTACTTCGACGATTACTTTTCCTCGTTCACATACTTATTTTGAAAATGAGCATCAAACTAGTCCACTAAAAACAGATATCGGTATTAGTAACCCAAACAAAAAGATTCACATACTATGTTGTTATAAAAGATTCGAGAAATGCTGAAATATCAACCATTTCTGAAACCCGTAAGTACGACACGGTCGCTACCACTGACGTGGCCACATCTTGTACAGCAGCTGCACCATCTGATGCTAAAGAAATCTGTAAAGAAAATAGGGATGTAACTACTTACGGACCTCTTCAGCAGTCTCCAAACTCACCAGCATCAGAACCATTTGGTGCCAAAGCTTCTGTTTCTGGAATCTGTAACGAAAACTTGGATGCTACTACTTACGTATCTCTTCAGCAGTCTCCAAACTTACAAGTAGCAGAACCATTTGGTTCCAAAGCTTCTGTTTCTGGAATCTGTAAAGAAAACTGGGATGCTACTACTTACGGATCTCTTCAGCAGTCTCCAAACTTACCAGCGGCAGAACCATTTGGTGCCAAAGCTTCTGTTTCTGTAAAGAAAACTCAGATGCCTTTACATACGGATATCTACTACAGTCTTCATGCAAACAAGCACCAGTACCATCTGATGCTAAAAGAGCTATCTGTTATAATATACTTTATATAGTTAAAAACCCGCAAAGAAAACTCAAATTCTGATGTCAAAAATATTAGTTTATTTGAAGATCATACGGTTGAAACTACAATGGATGTTAAGGAAAACATATTCATTTATTGATAAAATATAAGCTTACAGTATATACAACCAAATCGCTTATATCTACACTAAATTTACAAAGTAAGATAATATACACAAGAAAAAAATCACCAATTATTAAAATTCCATACACAATATAAATTACAGCCACAACAGTATAATGAGATCTATTTACTATATCATAAATTAAACTTATTTACCTAAACATATACTATTCTACTATCTTACAAAGTTGTTTAAGAATATTAATACATTTTAATACATTGAGCTGGGTTTGTCAAAAAATATGTATATCTGCGTCTGGATTGGCCCTGAGAAAACAGTTTATTAGTCTAATGGCTCTGGAAGTGGGACTGTTATCTGCGTGTGGGGAGCGCCACGTACGCGGACAGGAGAGGAGTCTACGTTTTCGTCTAACAACACCTCGCACATAATGGTCCGGTACATAAAGATGTACGGTCTCACGAACTGCAGGATTATCTACTTTGTTACTTAACAAGAAATAATAATGCATTATATGCATAAGTTCCCGCCTACACTGTAGGGTATCCAGATCAACCATGCCCGATACAAATGTTGACGGATATAGAAATGGGTAGTATCCATACTGGCGTTTATACAGATATCTGGCAAACTTACGTTGGATTTTTTCCACCATCATTGTATACATGATTTCTCGGGGGTTCCACACTGAGGCGTTATACTCTAGCTTACTTCGCACGTAGGCATTATACAGGAGTTTTATCACACGGACATTTTTAAGCTGATGTGAAGTTCTAATTATGAAACCTAGACTTTGATTCGCTTCTTTGCACGTTTTAATAATATGTTCATGGAAATTCAATTTACGATCCATGATTAGGCCTAGATCGCGAATTGTATAGACACGTCCTAATGGAGTGCCTGCTAGCTGGTATGTCGTTGTGATTGGGTTGCGTGACCGAGAAAAGTTAGAGTCTTACATTTTGAATTATTAAGGGGCAATTTGTTTTTTACACTCCATTCAACCACTGCGTCAATGTCGCGCTGTAATGCCATACAATCCTCAGCTCCGGTCACTGCATGGAAAAGTTTTATATAATCAGCGAACATTAAACATTTTGAACATTAAGCGTTTTGTGCTATACGCCCTTTAAGCCCCTAGGTATCGCTATGCACAAGCTATATCTGACAAACATAATAGCTTATTTATAACATGGTGTTAAGATTAGCTAGCTAACACCAGATAGTTAAAAAATTGACAATTTTTATCAAATACCTAGAAATGAGACAGTCGATTTTTAATTGTTTTTGGACTACTGGTAGTCAGTCAGACCTTAATTATTTAATAATATAGGGCATTAAGTTTTAAGTAACATTTACCTATATTTGGGTTTAAAGTAAACAAATCTATTTTATTTTGTTCACTTTGTCTTATTTTTTTTTTATTTAATATTATTTGAGTTGCCATCGTCATCGCGTGAGTGTCATGATTGCTGGCGAAGGACTGATAAAGCAGCATCACGTTAAACTTTAGAACGGGAACCATCTGAATCATCAAGTCCGTCCTCGTTGCAATCTAAAGTGAGTAATATATTGAACCTAGAACAACAAAGCTTAGATCATACATCGTACAATATACTGCTGCCTAATTTTGTAAGAGCACCATTCACACAAAATCAATGTCCTTTTGCGAATACAATTACTATGTACCTTCAGAATGTAGAATCAGTAACTACCATTTAAATAGTAACTCTTGGTATTTACTTTTAGAATCAATATATAACCATATTAAAACATTTAGTGTAGCACAAATTATAGATTTTTCTACATTATTGCAAGATAAATATAGACTTTGAGAATATTCACAGTATGCCTGAACATGCCGCGTGCCATTGACTGGCGTGTCATGGAGGGGGTGGAGACCTACTCCGACCACCGGTACATCCGGTTTGACGTCTCCACCCAGCCCTCGAGCGCGCCAGTCCAACAGGCCCCGAGTGGTCCGCGTTGGGCGCTGAAGCAGCTGGACCGGGAGCTCCTCCTGGAAGCCTCGATCGTGCAGGCCTGGGTGTCATCACCGGACAGGCCTGCCGACGTCAATGATGAGGCAGGATGGTTCCAGGAGGCCATGTCCAAGATACGTGACGTGGCAATGCCCCGCGTCCGGCCAGGAAGCGCCCGGTGTCAGGTGTATTGGTGGTCGCGTGAGCTGACGTCTCTGCGCAAGGCGTGTGTCGCTGCGCGGCACCTGTACGCCAGGCATCGCAGGCTCCGCATTCGTCCACCGAATGCGGCAGCTATTGAGGCGGAGCTGTACGAGGGATACAGAGCGGCGAAGACCGCCCTCCGGGAGGCTCTCCTGCGGGCCCGGGATCGGGCCCGTGAGGAGATGCTGGAGACTCTCGACATAGATCCTTGGGGGCGCCCTTACAAGATGGTGCGGGATAAACTCCGCACCTGCCCCCCCCCCGCTGACGCAGAGTCTCCGGCCCCAGCTCGTGGAGGACATGGTGAGCGCTCTGTTCCCTGCGCGAGGGGGAACATCCGCCCCCGCCTATGGCTCCGCCACCTGCGGTGCCGGAAGCGGACCACCACGACGACGACGACGACATCCCGGAAGGGACCGGGGTAGACCTGAGAGTGGCGGTACGTAGGCTCAAGGCCAGGAATACCGCCCCAGGACCCGATGGCTTGCCTGGCAAAGCCTGGGTCTTGGCCTCGGAGGCTCTCGGGCTCCGACTGGAGGGGCTCCTAAGCGCATGCTTGGAGAGAGGCCAATTCCCGCTTCGTTGGAAGACGGGGAAGATGGTCCTCATTCGGAAGCCGGGGCGCCCTGCGGACTATCCGTCCGCATACCGGCCCGTGGTGCTGCTCGACGAGGTGGGCAAGCTCTTTGAAAGAGTCATTGCAAACCGCCTCGCCGAGCACCTTGCAGGGACGGGGCCGGATCTTGCGGAACACCAGTTTGGTTTCCGTAAGAGGCGCTCTACGGTGGACGCCATCATGCGAGTGAGAGCCCTCACGACGGGGGATGCAGTGGCCAGAGGGGGGGTTGTCTTGGCGGTGTCTCTCGACATCGCCAACGCCTTCAACTCCATGCCCTGGAGCTGCATTAGGGAGGTAATCCGGTATCACCGGGTGCCGACCTATCTCCGTCGTATAGTCGGGGACTATCTGACGGACAGGGCCGTCATCTACCCCGGTCGCAACGGTGAGTGGAACCGGCGAGAGATGTCGTGTGGTGTCCCACAGAGTTCGGTTCTGGGGCCACCTCTGTGGAACATCGGTTATGACTGGGTGCTGCGCGCCGACCTCCCTACCGGCGTCAGCGTAGTTTGCTACGCTGGCGACACGCTGGTACTGGCACAAGGGAGGTCGTACGAGGCGGCGGCGGAAACTATGACACACGGGGTTGCGATAGTCGTGGAGAGGATTCGGCAACTGGGTCTCTAGGTGGCTTTGCACAAGTCCGAGGCCATGCACTTCCATGGTCCTCGGAACAGGCCACCACCGGGATCCTCAGTGATGGTAGGAGGGGTATCCATCGGCGTCGAGTCGACGCTGAAGTACCTAGGACTCGTCCTCGACGGCCGATGGAACTTCGTTGAGCACTTCCGACGTTTGGCTCCCAAACTGGACCCAAACGGATCGGGGCTGCCTTCAGGCGGCCCCTGCCGAACCTGGGGGGGGGGCCAAACGCCTCCTGCCGGAGGCTATACGCGGGGATCGTGCGGTCCATGGTCCTTTACGGGGCCCCAGTGTGGGCGCGTGGTTTGGCGCGGCTTGCCGTCCACCAACTGAACGCGCCCCAAAGGGTGGTTGCCGTGAAAATGGTTCGCGGCTACCGCACGATCTCCCGCGAGGCGGCGAGCCTCCTTGCCGGATTGCCGCCATGGGATCTGGAGGCGATAGTCCTCGCGCGCCTGCACGAATGGCGCGCGGAGGCACTATGCCGGGGGAAACCACGCTGCCGCGGCAAGTTGTCGCGCAGCGGACAGACTTCCGGCACGATCTCATGGCGACATGGAGAGAGCGACTGTCGCAACCCCGTGCTGGGCACGCCACTATAGCGGCGATAAGACCCCTCTTTGAGGAGTGGCTTGAGAGACGCCACGGCATCCTCACCTTCCGCCTGACGCAGGTCCTCACCGGACACGGTGTGTTCGGGAGGTTCCTGCACCGAATCGGGCGGGAGGTAACGCCCGGGTGCTCCCACTGCGAGGATGAACCGGAGGACACGGTGGAACACACCGTGGAGGTGTGCCCTACTTGGGCGGAGCACCGCCGTGTCCTCGTAGCGGCGATAGGCGTCGGCGACCTCTCGCGTCCGGCCCTGGTCGAAGCCATGGCCTGGAGCGATACGGAATGGGATGCCGTTACCACCTTCTGCGAAGCAGTGATGCTAGCGAAGGAGGTGGCGGAGCGGGAGAAGGAGAGAGCAGCAGCTTTCCTCCCCGGCCGCCGCGAGAGACGCCCCGGGCATCGGGGGCTACGTCGTGGCCCCCGGCCACCGTAGACGCGGGCCTGTTCTAGCTTCCTGTTCTTTCTAGCTACCCATTGCTCGCCGTCCGTCCGTCTAACGACGACAGGCCGTGTCGACGGCGCGTTTTGTTCCACGCGCGCCTCAAAGAGCTGTCAGCAGCGTGAAGGGGCCCGCATGGGCCGACGCCTGCCGGGGCTGCGGGCTGTTCGAAAGAGATACCGCGGCTCCGGAATGTAAGGGCTCTGAAGGAACACGGATGGTTTTTAGTCAGTAAAAGTCTGACACCTCCCTTACGCTCCACCCAGAGCGAAAGGCGTCATTAGACGATTTTCCATCCGCAAAAAAAAATGCCTGAACATACTGTAGATTATTATCTAGGCTTATCAAAGGCACAATAGCAACAAATTCTGTCTGAAGTTCCCAAAATGTCAAGTAAACATAGTGG